AATGTGAGGGAATCATTCAATTTATCACAGAACAAAAACTGTGTGGAGTTTGAACATAAGAACACAATGCATGAAAAACTGAAGAGTTAATGCAAACGAGCTACTCTAGATGTTGCACCAGTGGAAAAAGGCAAAAACCACCATAACGGTTGTCAATTCATTAGTAGTGAGAGCTTTGCAACGTCTCTTGTCCCTGTAGCAGCTAAACACTTTCATAAAGCTCAAAATTCAAAAACAAAATCAACTTAAATGGAATAATGGATTTGATTTTCTGGGAAAAAAAATTAACTACTGATTTATTTAAAATAGTCGATAGATTCATCAAGGGAAACAAAACCCTTAGTACAGTTTATTTTTAGACTGACACTGTCCTGCTGCTGTCAGCTCTCACAAATATATCAAAATGATTTCTGAAAATAGTCCCTGACAAATGCACAGTGTTCAGCTGTTTTAGTGTCAAATGATAAAACACAAAGGTATATATTGTGACCATTTTAAGGATCGATGTCTTTGGTATGAAAACAACAGAAAAACTTGCGTGTTTTGTTTTTTAAAAGATGACAGAAATCTAACACACTACCAGCCTGGTGCTGCTGTCAGTATTTTATAAACTGCTACTGCATGTGAGCAAACCAGAAAGTTCTTTCAAAATTTTAAACAAAGTATCCTGATCGTGACTGGTCTGCCTCAGCCTCCTATTGGGCCAATCAGCTCCTTCAACTCAGCGGCGATGATATGTGTCAGCTGGCTGCTGGCTCCACCACCAGGAACTAAACTCGCTAATAGCCTTTAGAGGAACTTAATCAATGCTTAGCTGCTAGGTCAAAGTTCTAAAGCAAATCCAACTGCTATGAGGCATCGTGAACCACCGCTGCTGCTGCTGCTGCTGCTGCTGCTGCTGCTGTAGTAGTACTTGGATATTCTGCTGCCTGTTCTGAAATCCATTTCCCAAGGGAAAGTGGGTGAAATACTTCACATTTTACACTAGTAAGTACACAAGTATGTCGACTTGTGAGAACTGCAATCATAGGCCAACAATGCTGGACGTGATGTCATTAAGGAACGAGTGTAAGCAAACAGGGTGGTGTTTTTAAAGCTGTGAGTTAAGATCTCGACATGTAACCTTCAGTGCATGACATGCAGGCAAATAAACGCTCACGTTTTTGGTATCTACGTGCAGTCTGCAGACATCCCGTGCTGCGCTCACGAGAGGCCTTCCACCTCTTCACACACACACACACACACACACATGCATACCAACACGCTTGTTGTGAGTCCTCACACAACTCATTCCCTCACACACATACACAACAGATACTCATTCTACACACATACTCGCTCCTCCTCCTCCTCCTCTCTACACCCACTTGCCCAAAACTCAAAGCCCGTGCGGGCACATGTACACACAAACAGCTCACAAACACACACACACACACACACACACACACACACACTTTCCCCACAGTGAGGGGCTGAGGGCACACTGGGGGAAGTCAAGCAGCAACGCAGCCCACTTGCCTGTTGCTAGGAAACGCAGGGTAGCCAGCAGAAGCTGAGGTGATATTTTAACCTTCATTTCATTGTCAGTAGGCTTGAAGGCCGAGAAATCCTGCTTCCTTTCCCGATGGGTGATTTTCTTCTTCGTCTTGTTGTCAGCTGAGGAGAGAAAATGAAAAAAGTCGGGCGTAAGATGCAAAACTTTTTCTGCAACAGGAAAAGGTCACTCCGTAGACACCGAGCCAGTCGTCCCGGGTCACAGGGTGACTAAACTGGAGTTACCCAAACCTTATTACTTTTTCCGGAAACGTAGCAGTGGCGTCTTTCTCAGAACTAAAGAAGAGCTATAGGGGGCTACATTGTTACCACATTCTCACCACATTCTCAGCATTACTGAAAACCATATGTATTAGGGCAACAAACAGACTGGCACGTACTCAGTAGGCCCTGACTGATACCACTGGAGGTGTAACAAGGAAAGGCCACTCACAGTTTGGTGTGATACATGAAAAAGTTGGAGGTGATACAAGTTCTGACTTTAAATTATTTCTCCCTGGGTGAAAGATGTGAAAAAAAAAGTTCTATGTTACAGGATTTGGTGCCCAGTATAAACAAGAAAAAAAGTAAAGCATCTTTAACTCCTCATAGAAATGAAGAGTAAAAAAAAAAAGTTCCTCATCAAGAGTAATATGCTCAAAACACTTCAGTTGACAAACAAACACCAATTAAGACATCCTCACACAAGATTATTTTACAGAGAAGTGCCACCGCAGCTCTGTGGAGCTTTTTAGCTAAATATTCAGGTTTTCTGGCTGCCTGTTTTACTGCTTTGGCAGTGCAGGCAGCTCTTCAGCAACAACATTATAAAAACTAACTGCACCCTGGAGTAACCACGCTGTAGCAAACGGTAGACAGACAAAGGTAGCAACGAGCTGGTGAACATGTAAAGAACCAGAGGTTTTTGTCTAGAGCTGGTAGAAACCAAACTGGAGCAACAAAGGGAGATAGTAGTGGATTTACAGACATACAAAGCTGATTTAATAGCTTTTTCGTCCTAGAATAAGTCAATGTAGTGTTGCCATATATAATATATTGTTTTGCTTGGTTACACTGCCTGCAGAAATGAAGCAACACTCATATTAATTTGTTTAAGAATCCATAATATTTGCACCTATGCCAATATTATTTGGCTCATTTTGTCAGACTGCAGATGTCTGTAATGATATATGCACATATTTTTTCATCTAATTGCAGAAAACATCAAGTGTCTCCTGCAGTGGAATTTACATCATATCATCTCTTCTCTAATGGGGATGTTCCACTGGCAGCTGCAGACATAAAATTACAGAACTTGCAGAATAAGAAAACTAATTAAACTTACACGTAAAACATGCCATATTTTACTTATGCAACATTTTCAAATAAACCTGCAAACTTTTAGAGTGACAGGCGTTATCTATCTGTCAATGTTTCAGTTTAAAGCTGATACAGACGATACCATTGTGCGTCCCTAAATTCGCTAAATGCTCCACTGTGATTGCCAGCTTGTCATTACATTTGTCTGCCTGCTATTTGAAGAATTTCAGATTGTGTGTGGTTTGTGTGTTTTTACAGAAAACTGGTGGTTACATGTGGAAGCGATGCTGATGAAAGCAGAGTTTGAAGCCATAAAACCAAAACAATCGGACTGAAAGACATTAAAATCCTCAAGCAGGCTTATAATTCTTAGGGAGTGTGTTGCTACGAGTTTTACATTATATGACCTCATTTAATTCATTGTTAAAGTCTAAAGAACGTAACCTTCGAGAGGGGAACCTACTGTACAGGTCAGTCTCGTCCAGGATCTCGGACTTGATGATTTCTTCGATGACGTCCTCCAGGGTGACGATACCCAGAACCTCGTAGAAAGGGTCTCCCTCGCCCTCGTTGTTCACCCTCTGAACTATGGCCAGGTGGGATTTTCCTAGCAGAACACACACACAGGTTATAAAGTTAGGGTCATATAAACATAAAGACAATTAAATGTAGGTCAGGCAGTGAGCAAAGGGACAAACAGGCAGAGACACATGGCTCTTCTTATCTCTAACATACCTATCTGACATGAATCATGGACAAATGCTTCATACATAATAGTTTTTTTTTGCTGTGAAATAGGAACAATAAATGTCAGATAACTTCAGTGCAATGACACTGCAGTAAGTACAACAGCATCACACAGAAGATAGGTGACACAAAGTGATGTGAACTCTTCTTAAAGGACCAGGGATGTACAACATGGTAGTTCAAGTGTTAACAGTGCCAGGAAAAAGTCATCCAGTCAAAGAGACTGATGGGGCTGACAGTCGAAGAGTCCTAAATTTCATCATATGAGCCCCTTTGGCCCTCCTTGCCTCCACATCTGTGTTCCCAGGACCCTCCTGTGTGCTGTACCATCTGAAAAAAAAAAAAAAAAGAAACAAACTGCCGTGTATGCAGTGAAGACTGTCAGGCAAAACACTAAACAAATTCTTTGCCTTTTCTCAGCTTGTGATCATTTAAAAGGAATTTTCCAGAGGCCCAGGCTAATATTAGCCCCTGCAAAATGAAGTTTCCATTCCGCCCCGGCGATATTCTCACCGAGCAAAGGAACAGACCGGGCGAACCTCCGCTGTGTGATCAGATTGTCTCAGAATGGGCCGTTTGCATGCAGATACACCTGGGTGTAAATAATGGAGGACGTCAGTGTGCCGATGTGTGTGCGTGTGCATGCACGTGTGTCACGGGCGCGCGGGTGCTCAAGCATGTGTGGGTTTTATTTTCGGAGAACGCAGGTACATCACCGAGTCTGCGCTCCGATGCTGCTTCAGCGAACGCCGGCCGCTTTGGTGCAGAGATTGAAAGGACTTGTGGGCTGATCACCGGGAGTGTTTTATTGCACTGCAGCTCCCTCGCAGCACTACGACAGCGCGCCGACGTGCTGCGGACAGAGGCTGAGAGGCTGAACGTGAGAATGTTGCGATGAAGAATTGATGCTTTTAAGAAATACACTCAGGTTACACCTAGCAGGCTGATCCCCAAAGAGAGGTATTAATAATGTAAACAGAGAAATCCACTAATACAAAGAGTCTGCAAATGGCAGGCGGCGCACATAATCTTGTTTGTCCGAGTGTCAAGGAAGAGAAGAGTCTACGTCTTTCCATTAGGACGTCAGCATATTGCTTTATCACTGAGGGGCTGGGTTTAACTAGGGCAAACACAAATGGAGCCTCGTGGGTAAAGCAACCAGGCCTCAGAAGTCCTTGAGCACGCAGTTACTCTTAACTGGCCGGGGAGGGGAAGCAAATGGAGAGGCAAGCAGAGCGCAGCGCAGCCGAACTGATCGACGCTCACTTCACTCCTTCACCACATCCACTCCACTCCTGTCGGGTTCATGCACACAGGTCATCAAATGTAGGTTTCTAGGCAAAAATGTCAGCCGTTACGTCACTTTAAAGGATGAACTGAAATGAACCAAACATGAAAATAAGCAAATATAAGAAGCTGGATAATTTAAGATGTTACAGCAGGAATCAACCTTGTTTTGTTTTGTTTTTTCTCTGTGTATCAAGTGGCACTATTGTTTGTTACTTAAATGAATAGTTTGGTATTTTGGGAAACATTCTGATTCTGATGATGTTGTGTCTGTACAGTAAATATTAGCAGCAGGTTAGCTTTGCTTTAGCATAAAGTCTGAAAACAAGGGGAAACAGACATCCTGTCTCTGTTTAAAGGGAATAAAACCGATAACATTGGTTTGTCGTAAAATTACAAAGATAGACTTTCTGTTGCTGGCTGCAGGCTGCAGCTTCATATTTAATGTTCTAATATGAGAGTGGTCGAAATTTTCCCAAATCTGTAAAAGAAAAAAATAAATACAATTTCTGAATTATCAGCTTGACTGAATGATATTTTCTAAATCTATCTCCTTTTATATATACATATTATCAGGGTTCTAATACATAACTACACATACTGAATATCACAACCTGAATTAATTAAGGTTATGATCACCCTCCTATAAACCAACTTTTTATGACTATTAAACAAAGTTGATATGATAATAATCGAGTGGTGACTGTGAGATATGGTTGAATCCTGTGGAAAAAGCTTGTTTATTCATCTCGGGTTGACATTAACGATAAATTACATGCTCAATAAGCTAAGAGTTTTTAACAACATATCTAAGCCCAATGCTTATTTCATTTCCAAAAGAAAAATATATATAAATTTTTAAAAAAATGATATTCAGCAGAGATTTCCTACATACATATAAATGTGAATACTCCTTTAAACCCACTGAATATTTTGAAGGAATGTAATCCAACACACAGAACAGAAATTCAACAAAAGCTGCAATGATTCAGACAGGGGTCCTTTGCGAGAAATGTGATTTAATATATTGTAAAACTACTCCTGTTATTGTTCCCCACTGCTGTATATGGAAAGAACTGGTTCACTTTTATCACAGGAGTGATTTAATATATTGTATAACTACTCCTGTTATCGTTTCCCTCTGCTGTATATGGAAAGAACTGGTTAAATTTTATCACAGGACCAGGAACGACCAATGGGAACACGAGTCAACTCAACCTCACTTCTCTTGACACAAATCTAGGCCTGACCTCTGACCTTTATGTAAGCCAGCTGATAAAGCCGTGGAGGACGACTCTGAGATCAAACACAATCAGCTCTGCTCTCGAGGCAGCCATGTGCACACAATCACACACACTAAACCCGCGAATGTAACAGCACAAGTCACTTGTTTGACAAGTTAAACTAATCCCATCAGGATGTTTGTCCACAGCGAGGAGATGATCGGGGTTAACTATTAGAGATGACCCCCACTGGAGGAGCGTCAGCAGAGGCAGCATAGCTCGTTGGTTTAAAATAAGAATGACACACACCGGATAAAAGTAAATGGGAAGCTAGTGAGTAGAAAAGACAGAGAGAAGCATGTTTATGCAAAGTTTAATAGTGTTTATTTTAGAGTCTGTCCCACGGGCTGCAATGTAAAGAGACAGAAGTTTCACAAAATCCATGGAACAGAGGTCAAAGGAAAATCACACACCCAATGTTTCCTTTATACTATTCTGCATGTTTAACATGGAAGTCACTTGGCTACATATTTCACAGGGGAGATGTTCTGGGTGAATATTTGGTCGACATGATTCCAGGGAAGGAAGGAAGCGTGAGTTAGTGGGCCACTTTGTTCCAGAGAGAAATTCTCAACAACTAATGAATGGATACAGGGTCCCACACCAGTATTGATGGTCATATTTTTAAAAATTAATGTTGATATCAGAATCAGAATCAGAATCAGCTTTAATGGCCAAGTACGTACACAACATACAAGGAATTTGGTTTTGGCTGTTGGTGTCGCCGTAGGAATTTGCACGAATAATAGAAATAGGAAAATTAAAAAAAAAAAAAAGAAATTGTATTATTAAGAAATATTGTATTAGTAATACACATATGATACAATTGTAAGTAGGAAAGTAGTCCAGTCGTAGTACCTATATACGCAGTGAAAATGATACTTTTTTTTGCAGTTTTACCAGAATTTTTTTTGAATATTGTACTTTTCTTTGTTAAATCACAGTTAATAACAAGTCAAATCAAAGTATGCATTTACATGTTAAAACTGTCAATAACATTCACATCAAAAGTCTGTATTTTTACAAATGGTAAGTTGTTGTTTTGCAACAAATTACTTAATTTTTTTACTGTGTTTAACCAAGTAAAAAAATATATCAATATTTCATAGATATTTGTCATTATTTGGGAGAAAATATATATATATATATCAGGGACTTAATATTTACTAAATTCACAAAAAAAAGTATTAATGTACATGCTGACTTAAAAAAAACCAAAAACAAACAAAAGGCCAAAACTGTACATAATGTCCAGATTAGAAATCTGTAATTTTAAAAACAGTAATTTGTCTTTGCTAAACATGTGAAATTACGTTAGTTTGAATCTGTTAACAGTTGTTTCACAGATATTTGCTGGTATTTTCACTGTTTTTACAGTTTTTGGCATTACAGTATTTCACAATTTTGAACGTAATTATTTCAAACTTTCACTTTTTTTAAACAGGATTTTTATTTTTTATTTTTACAGTATATTTGATGTTAAAAGACAAAGAAAGAGACAAAATTTAAAAAGTTGAAAATTAATTTGACTCATAGCATTATGTGTTTAGTATAGTGAGAGTATTGTTGTCATGATTTCTTCTGGCTGTGATAATTGTACAGTGAAAATCTGATCTGTGATCTATGAAAGACCTTGACCAGAATGCCATAAAAATTGCTTCTTAGTTTTTGTCAACTGCTTTTTGTTTGATGATCGCTTGACTTTTTAATCAGCACTACCTGCAGGTCAAATTCCCATCCTCTACATACGTAGAGTCTGTACACCAAGTTGGTGTACAGACTTTCATTGTTAATAGATGATTAATTTTAATGACTATTGTAACTACCATGGGCTGAAATATACAAACTTTGGTTCTAGCTCCAACAACAGGTATGTGTCTTCACTTTTCTGGTGAAATATTTTAACTTAACTTAACTAGCTCAAAATTGCGTGAAGATTCAAGGTTCCTAAAGAATAAAGCCCCATGACTTCGGTGATCCCTTGACTTTTCATGTAACTCCACAATGTGAGTGAAATGTCTTGACACCCATCGGGTGGCTTGGTATGAAGTTTTCTGTAGATGTTCACGTCTCTTTCAGCATGTATTATAATTGGCGACTGCATTTAACCAAATTCAACACATTAAACTAACTTACTGTCCTTGCTTAAAAAAAATAGGGATGTCCTGCTCTTTATTTTATTCTTTTAGCCCCCTATCTGATCCAAGTCATTTAATATTTACTGTCTGCTGATATCTCATACTGGGCTGCAAGGTGGTTCAGTGGTTAGCACCACTGCCTCGCAGAAAGA